ACTGTTGGGGATTGTGACTTGGTCCATCCCGGATGACTATTTTACCGCGTATTTGACTGAAACCTATTTGCTAACATCATCATTTGGGTTGAATGCAATATTTGGGCATTGTGCCAACTTTTTGAACCCTTCGGGGATTTTTACTGGTATTTTCTCACTGTTTTACTTTATACTTGAACTCAGTCATGTTATATTTCACTATTTTCGTACTCAACCATGTTTACTCTATTTTAACACTTAAATGATCTTTTAAATGATATTTTGGGCAAAGAAACATGTTTTACTACTGCCCGAGTGACTTGTGAGGATTTTGACTGAGTAAGGCCGAGGGCCTATGTTGTGAGGAAACATTTGATATTGATTATGAGGCCGAGGGCCTGAGATATGTATGCCACGAGGGGCTTGATTGGAGTACTCACTTTACTTCTTGCATCCTTTTGTGCAGATTCAGGCGTTGTTGATCCTGCAGTACGAGTTGAGAGCTCCCGGCGGACATTCAAAGTTCACGAGGTATCTGCTTGACGTCCGTAGACCCATGTTTCTCCCTCTTTATCATTTCTATTACTTATCAGACAATTGTAATAGTTTATAGACTTATCGGATTTGTAGTAGGATATATAGATGCTCATGACTAGTGACACCTCGGTATCGGGCTGTGTTGGGTTGTCCTTCCGCATATTTATGATATTATCTGCTACTTAATATTATTAAGTCATGTTTTAGACTGTTTTCCTGTTGTTTGACTATTTAAAATCGAATTGGGAATAGTTGGATGGCCTTGTCTTCATGAGAGGCGCCATCACGACCGGGTCCAGGTTTAGGGTCGTGACAAAGGTCGAGGGCATATGTTGTGAGGATATCAGGGGATCGGGCTGCGCGCCGCAGCATGATGTACCGTTTTGTCATATATGAGATGCTGGGGGCCTGATTTATTATGCCACGAGTTGGCTTGTGGTAGCGCTTGGGCTGTAAGAGCCCCTCCGTAGTTTGAACACCCCCAGTGAGCGTGGGTACCCAGAGTGAGTGATATGTTGTTGCTCGAGGGGTTGATTATGATACATATTATGCCCGAGGGGCTGATTACGAGTGATTGTGAGGTATCCTGAGGGGCTGGTTCTGTTGATATTATGCCCGAGGGGCGGTTTAAGATACATGTCTTGCCCGGGGGGCTGATTATGATTTTTTTATTATTTTTACTCTCAACTTCTTTAAGTCTCTGTTGAAACTGTAGAAAGATATTTTTCAAAGTATTTTTTACTGAAACTGAGTTTTTATAAGATAATTGATTTCTACATTGTTTTGGAACCATACTGTATTTGTTGTAGTGTTATGACGTGGAATTGTCTAATTTCTTATTGCTGAGCCTTCATTTACTTTTATTACTGACTGAGTTGGCGTACTCACATTACTCTCTGCACCTTGTGTGCAGATCCAGACGTTGCGGGTATTGATAGCGAGCGTTGATCATTCATTCAACAGGTCTTGGGAGTCGACAAGGTAGCTGCATGGCGTTCGCTGCGCTGCTCTTCTCCCTCTTATCTTCCCTAGATTATATTAGTATTGTTCCCAAACTTTGATAGACATTATTGTACTTAGACAAACCTTATAGTTGCTCGTGACACCCCGATATCGGGCTTGTGTTATTCTTTCGCACTTGTTATTAAACTCATGTTATGAGATATTGTTAATTAATAGCTTAAAAATGTCTTTTATGAAATATTGGTGTTGATACCCAATTTTTTCTTATATATTTTAAATATGCATAAATACCTTCAAAAAAGCATATATATGCATACATGAACATGCACAAGGTTTTTATAATTTCTCCCATAATTTTTAGGATTTAAATTGATTTATTTTCTCTCCTTTTATTCATAAAATCCCCAATAAATATTTTCCAAATTATTGTTATGATGATTTATTCATTTAACTTCTATACTTATGCAAAAATATGGCTAATATAAATTTTATGCATTTTTATAATTACATTTAGTATTTTAAAGCTAAAATGGACATAATTGCAATGTTAGCCCACTTAAGGTATAATTATATTTTATATACGTAAAATTGGTCCCTATATTTTTAAAATGTTAATTATGTATTTAAATTATTTTGGCACATTAAATTAGTTTTCAGAAATTATCTATTATTTATTATAAATTAAAATAGGGAAAGTGGCTATTTAAATAATAGCCATATTTGGCTTTCAATTATAGCCCAAATTGGATCCCTCTCCCACCCAATCTCCTACCCAATTAACCCGATCCAAACCCCATAAACACCTACCCAAACCCGAAACCCACCTACCGGTTGAATCCTGACCGTTGATCTTCCAGATCAACGGTCCACACACGACCTTTCCTTTTTAATTCCTAAACAACCCCTTAACCCCTACTCATTTCCAAACCCCAGACGCCATCAGATGCTCTCTTCTCTCTCAACCTAACCCTAATCATTCTTCAACTGCCGCCTCCTTCTCCGGTCATCTCCGGCGATCACCTTTCAACCCCAAGCCTCTAATGGGTCTTCCATCGCCTTGCTCATCATCTCTGAGGCCTTCAAGAGTCCTGGGCCATGCCGATTTTGATCTAGGGTTTCTATTTTTGTTGTTCATGGCTTCTCCGGTGTGATTTTGGGCAAAATCACACCATATATGTTACAATTTGTGAAGTTTACAGCAGGTTCTTTCGTTTCTATTTGGGTTTCCTTTAAAACCCTAACTCTCGTTTGAATCTCTTAGATCCGTGCTATTTTTAACGCTTTATGTCTGTTTCTTACTATGTTTTGCACTATTCTCGAACTTCTTCTGAAAGATCCTCAAATTTAAGCCGTTTACTTTCTTTAAAAAATTAGGGTTTTTCGGAGTTTATTCTACACTTGTTTTAACCAATTTTTCTTTATGATTAAACCTCTTTCCTTGCTTACCTTGACTGATTTCATGTTCTTAATGCTTTTTCAACTCGACTCTTTTAAAAGCCCTAATTTCTTAGATCCTCTTTGTTTTTTTTGGCAATCCGCTAGGCAAGCGCCTAGGGCTAGTTTTATTATATATATAAATAAAAAAAAAACGTACATAATGTCAGGTTGTCTTGCGTAACGGAAAAAATAACTATGACTATTACATAATACCTATTACCAATATTGAGAACGGAGCTCTACATTGGTATCATATATGAACTGATATGGTTATTGACGAAAAATCTTGCCCCTGCAGCTTATTAGTACGAGTGTCCAAATTCAAATTTTGCATATTGCACATATAGGCTCTTAACCATGTAGCCACTGCCCAGATTTTGCTTGTATAGGCATGCTTTGAATTATTCTTGTGATAGTAGATGTTCCCATGAATTCTTGATTCTGCCAAACTTACGTGATGATGTGTCCTTGTGCAATCCCTCCTGATCCACCAGATATTGGTCCCAGTGTTTGCACCTTGAGCTTTACCCTTCAAAGTCTGATGCCAAATAAAATGTCCATCCCACTGAGAATCAAGTTCTTAGTGTAAAATTGCCCATGTTTGTTGTTTGTGCATCCTCTTCTGCTTGTCGAAACCGAGCTGGCATCCTATTATTTAATTACAGCTTTTGTCGAAAACATAACTTGCTTCTCGAAAGATCATCTTCTGGTCATAACTCCGGTATCCGGCGGTGGAAATAACCAAACTTGGTGTCAAAAAATACATAATTTCCTTACGAATAATACCCACTTAGTTTCAACCTCAGATCTATAGTCAATTTTTGTAGATCTTAATTTCATTTTCACGAGTTACTGTAGCAGACAGAATTCTTCATTCAAATACAGCGATTCAGCTAAGTCAAGTGCTACTTTTCAACACAACAGCTTGTTTTGATAACGTGAAAGTGTTCTCTTCTCTTCCAAGATTGGTTTGAATTAGCTTTTTTTTAATTCAAACTTTTTACAGTTTGGACTGTGAAATTGGATTCACAGCCATAAGCAGTAAGTAACGTGAAGCTATTTCGAATTACAGTATCATTGTTTTCAAGCAAAGCTGCTGCACCTTTCTCATGTAATTAAAGTGCTAAAGAATTACAACTGTAATGAACACACAGGCAGGTGGCCAGCCACTTTTTGTGGCTGCGCTGCCTACCCAACCTCATCCAAACATTGCACAAACATTAGGGAACACAAATATCAACAAACAACTGATGGATTACTCCAAAATTCTGAAACCTTGCACGTTAAATGCTGCAATGCATGAGCAACAAGAAGTTGAGCCAATTCCAATTCGTCCACCTACAATATTAAATGGAGAGAATGTTATTCCGTTCACAGAAGCAGAAGTAGAAAGGATGGATATCATCGAAGGATTACAATATGCAATAGTTGGTAAATGTTCTTATGGCAGCCCAGAAATTCAACAACTGCGCAAGTTAATACCTATTCAATGCGGAATTAAAGGTGAGTGTAACATTGGATTTCTAAGGGATAGACACATTTTGATTAGAATGACGTTAAGGCAGGACTATCTTCATTTCTCATCAAAAACTCATTACATAAAGGACAGGGATGGCTATCAATATCAGCTTAGGCCATTGATTTATGACTCAAAGTTTAGAGCAGATGAAGAAACACCCAAGGCAATGGCTTGGATCTCATTCCCAGGTCTATTGCCAACCTTTTTTATGAAGGAATGTCTATTTTCTATAGCTACAGCAGTAGGTAAACCTATGCATCTGGACATGGCAACTATTAATAAAACTAGACCAAGTTGTGCTAGGGTAAAGGTACTAGTTGATCTACTTGCAGATTTGCCTAAAAAGGTGAGGATGGACATATTCAATGAAGCTAATGGAACAACAAAAACTGAATGGGTGAGAATTCAATATGACATGATGCCTAAATATTGCAGACATTGTAAACTTCAAGGGCATGACCAATTTGAATGTTGGAGGATACACCCTGAACTATATGTGGAGAAGGAGAATGCTAACCAAGCAGATACAGCTAAGAAGTAGGAAAGAGGGAACTCACACCCTATAATGTTTTTATCTAGTGGAAAGGTCGTGGGTAATGTGAATGTTACAACAAAAGAGCAATGGAAGGAAGTGAAGGACAACAGAGTTAGAAGTGTAGTAAATCAAAATACTAGCCTCAATAATAATGGAATGGAGATAGCACCAAATAAGCAGCTTAAAAACAACAAGAACAAGGAGGGTACAAGCAATGTAGATAGACAAGCAGAAGCACAAAGCAACAGTGGTAAGGAATTGGTGGCAGTAGACAATGAAGATAATGATCATGTTCAAGTAGCTAACAAGTTTGAAATATTACAAGGGATGGAGGAAGAGGAAGAACATGTTAATCAATTGGCAATGGTGGCAGGTAATGCAACAACTAACAGTCCAGCAGTTCATAACCAAGCATCTACAAAGCAAAAACCAAAACATATGGTCAATAATGAGGGAAAGCTAGATCCAGCAGCACAATCCTTTCATCTTAACTCATCGAGTATTCGTTCGACTAATGGTCTAGTCAATGGAAAGGAAGCATTAAAAGCAAAAAACTATACTGCACAATGGGTAGAAAGAAGTTTCAAGGATAAAATAGGAGATGGAATAGTGAAGATCAATACATCATGCAAGGAAATACCATCACAAGATACAGTTGTGAACAAGGAACTTAATAAAACTCCAAATACTAAAGCAGAAGGATTAAAATCGTCTACATTTAAAGAAAGAGTGCAAGGCTGTGGAGGCAGGCTATGGGATGCACAAAGGGAATACGATTCAGAGGAGAACGAAGTACCACTAGGAGCACAAGCTGATGAGGAACCAAATGAGAAGGACAAAGAAGAAGATGAGCAAAGTTTAAATGAGCAAAGTGTAAATGGAGAACTCCATGCAAATGACAACAATACGTCTGGTAATCTTTTAATAATGGGAGATTCAGAAATTGGTGATCACAACAATAATTACCAGATAACAGAAGTCACAGAAATTAGAAATTATGAAGGAAGAGGCCCAGAGGTAAATGATCCGGGACGAATAAAAGACGATAAACTTCAGAAAGAACACAACACAACAGATAAGGAGAAACAGCCAAACCAAAAAACAGAAATAGCACATGTTACTGGTACATTGGAGAAAAAGCAGTTGCAGCTTTTAAAACGAGTAGAAGAGAAGGCATTGGTCCTTAAAAGAATGCAGGTGGAGCTATATCAGGGAAGGAAGACAATAAAGAAGAAGAAGAACCTGGCAGATCAGGATATGTCATGGGTCACGAATCAACTACTCAACACCTTATGAATGCTGCAAGGCAAGGTGACTTATCACCTACGCAAGTGGAAAAGGCAAAATCAGCAGCAAAAGGTAAGAAGACGCAACAAAAAGATAATTTTGCAGCCCCAAAACCTGGGGTGCACACAAGGAGAACGCTGGCTAAATCAAACAATGAGTGATAAATGCTCTCATTTGGAATATAAGGTTAGTCAACACACTGCAGTCCTTTGAAAGGTTGACAAAAATGCATAGGAAAAATCACTATGAATTTGTAGGATTAATGGAGCCAAAGCAACAAGAAAAAAAACTGGAAAGGTACAGAAACAAGATAGGACTTGTACAAGCAATTTCAAATGTTTCCAACAAGATCTGGGCGTTCATAGATGAGGTATTTGAGGTAACTGTCATGTACAATATGGTGCAACAATTAACACTACGATTGTTTCATACTGAATCGCATGTGGAGTTAGTTTTAACATTGATATATGCTAAATGTGATGCAATTGAGAGGATAGAATTATGGGATTCATTATATGCAATGGCAAGGGATATGGATGCACCATGGCTAGTAGGGGGAGATTTCAATGTAATATGGGACGAAGAAGAGAAGTTTGATGGGTTACCTGTGTCATTGAATGAAATTGATGATTTTCTACAATGCGTCAACACTTGCAATCTCTTCGACCTTGGATTTAAAGGTAGCATATTCACATGGTGGAATGGGAGAGCAGAGGAAGACTGTATATTCAAAAGGCTAGACAGATGCTTGGCCAATATTCAATTCCAACAAACATTTCCGGGAATAGAGGTGCAACATTTGTCAAAGACTGGTTCCGATCACAGTCCAATGTATCTGAAGTGTGATATTGAGACTCCACCAATAAAAAAGCCTTTTAAGTTCTTGAATTTTTGGGTGGAACATGCAACTTTTAAAGATGTGGTGAGAGATAACTGGACAGCCGATTTCAGTGCAAATCCTTTTATTATTTTTAATCACAAGTTAAAAAAATTAAAGAAGACCCTTTCATTGTGGAGTAAGGCTACATTTGGAAATATTTTCCAAAAGATAGCAAGCATGGAGGAGATAGTGATGGTTCATGAAGCAGAATTTGAAGCAAATCCTACAGGGATGAATAGGGAAATACTAAAAAAGGTTCAGGCAGACTTGATCAAATGTCTTGCACTAGAGGAGAAATATTGGCAATAAAAGGCGGGCATGACTTGGTTCAAGAAAGGGGATAGGAACACTTAGTTCTTCCACGCACAAGTGAGAGGTAGGAGGCAGAGACTTCAGCATAACAGAATTCAAAATAGTGGAGGAACATGGATTGAAGAAGAAAAAGAAATTGCAGAAGAGGCTATCAAATTTTACGAGGAACAGTTCACAGAAGCAGCTACTCCTTCTTTATTTGATATCGTAGAGCATGTTCCTAATCTGATTAACAATGAACAGAATGCAGAATTGATTAAGCAGCCAACAAAAGAGGAGGTTAAAGTGGTAGTATTTGGACTTAATGGTGATCGTGCTGGAGGGCCAGATGGTATGACAGGCAAGCTATATCATTCTTGTTGGGACATAATAGGGGATGACCTGTACGACATGGTGAGGGCGTTTTTCAATGGTCATGAGCTACCAAAGTGTGTAACACACACAAACCTAGTTCTGCTACCAAAGAAAAAAGAAGTTACCACTTTTTCTGATCTAAGACCAATAAGCCTCAGTAATTTTTCAAATAAGGTTATATCGAGGGTCGTGCATGAAAGGCTAGTGAAATTTCTCCCAAGTCTGATATAGGAGGAACAACCAGGTTTTGTTAAGGGCAGGAATATAGTAGAAAAAATCCTTCTAACTCAGGAGATAGTCATTGACATTAGGCTTAGAACAATGGCTGGACCTAATGTCATGCTGAAGCTAGATATGACCAAAGCTTATGATAGATTATCTTGGCTATTCCTAACAAAGGTAATGAGAAAGATGGGATTCACAGAAAGGTTGATAGGGATTGCCTTTGGATTAGTTTCAAACAATTGGTATTCTATTCTAATCAATGGTCAAGCTCATGGTTTCTTTAAGTCCTCAAGGGGAGTAAAATAAGGTGATCCTGTATCTCCAACTTTGTTTATCTTGGCAGCAGAAGCATTATCTAGGGGCCTCAATGCACTACATACTAACCTGTATTTTTGTGGATTTGGGATGCCAAAGTGATGTCCAAAGATCAATCATTTGGCGTATGCAGATGACATGATTATTTTCTCATCCTTAGATGAAACATCTCTGATGCTGATTATGCAAGTGTTGAATGCTTATGAAGCTGCATCTGGGAAGCTTATTAACAAGACCAAATCAGCTATGTACCTGCATCATTTAACACACATGGAAGTGGTCAGCAAGGTGGAAAGGATCACAGGCATTCATAGGAATGAATTTCCTATCATATACCTAGGTTGTCCTATTTTTTATGCATGGAGAAAGCTGGAATACTATCAGCCCCTAATTACTAAGGTAATGGACAAAATGCAATCATGGCAGGGCAAGTTATTATCAGTAGGGGGCAGGGTAGTTCTCATATCCCATGTACTGCAAAGCATGCCTATGCATCTACTATCAGCTGTAAACCCTTCAAAATATGTGATAAATAGGTTGCACAAATTGTTTGCTCAGTTTTTCTGGAGCAGCTCTGTAGGAGGAAATAGTAGGCATTGGGCTTTATGGAATACCTTATGCATGCCAGTTGAGGAAGGAGGAATAGGTTTCAGGTCACTGCATGATGTAGCAAAGGCATTATTCAGCAAGTTGTGGTGGAATTTCAGAACAAAACCAAGCCTATGGAGCTCTTTCGTATGTCAGAAATACTGTAAGAAAATGAATTAAGTAGTTGTTCCATGGAAAAGGGGGTCTCACATTTGGAGAAAAATGCTGGAATGCAGAGATCTGATTGAACATCAAATATTTTGGCAAACAAAAAGGGGATCCTCACTTTTTTGGTTTGAAAACTGGACAGGTCTAGGGGCACTATATTTTTTGGTTCCTCAGGACTTTGGCATTGATGAAACAGTACAAAATGTACATGAGGTTACCTTAGATGGTGAGTGGGATGTGGATAGGCTATTTGAAATGCTTCCTGAAGACTTAGCAGTACACATTCTGGAGAAAATCAAACCACTTTTACCTAAGCAGGTTCTTGATGTACCTTGTTAGATGTTGGAAACAAGAGGATATTTCAGTGTTAAGTCAGCATGGGATTATACGAGAAGAAGAGACGAACCAAGAACAGCTTATAGGATGATTTGGGTAAAGGGATTGCCTTTAAAAATAGCATTTTTCATGTGGAAAGTGTGGAAAGCAAAGTTACCTTTAGATGATTTCTTGAAAAAGGTAGGCTACTGCATGCCATCAAAATGTTGGTGTTGTGTATGGCCTGATGAGGAATCTCTTCAGCACTTATTTTTTAGATCAGAAACTGCAAAGACAACTTGGAAGTATTTTATATCGAGGGCAGGTATAGCTGTGGAGGGACTTACATTGCACCAAGCAATCACAAAATGTTGGACTGCAAATGTGTGTTTAAGGCTCAAACCAGTAATGCAAGCACTCCTCTCATGTGTAGTATGGGAACTCTGGAAAAGAAGAAATAGTATGACGTATGGTGATGCTGTGACAACTAGCAGGGTGATTTATCAAGTTTCATCAAATCTCCAGGCATTGGTGAAAGTGAGAAAGCCTGAGATGGACATGGTGCCTCACAAATGGAATGATCTTCTAGCTATGATGGAAAATTTCACTCCAAAACTTAAGGTTACCAAAGTCATGTGGGAACTTCCAAGTGCAGGATGGCTAAAAGTTAATACGGATGGGGCATCGAGGGGAAATCCAGGCAGAAGCTCAATAGGTTTTTGTATAAGAAATGAAAATGGTAACATAGTCAAGTCAGTAGGGAGGGATATTGAAGAGACAACAAACACAGTAGCTGAAGCGAAGGCCATGGTAGAAGCACTAAGGTTCTGCAGATTTCAACAATACTCTCATGTATGGCTTCAAACTGACTCAATGTTATTAAAAAAGATAATGGATGGGATCTGGAAACCACCATGGATCATATCTGAGCAGGTAGAGGAAATGATGCAACTAATGAATGGGGGAAATTACACAGTTACTCATATTCATAGGGAGGGCAACAAGCTGGCAGATCACTTGGCTAATTATGCTTTAGATCATGGAGAAATAGAATGCCAACAATTCTGGCATCTAGATGCACAGGGAAGGAGGTTAGTTAATGAAGATAAGCTGCAATGTCCNTATAAGAAGCAAAGAGAAAAGGAAGAGCATGAGGCATGTCAACTTAATCGACCAATATACTCCAATCCTAAGGGAGAAGGGTATTTCTATCACGCAGGTACAACTAAGTTATGTTAAAGAACAAAAATATTTCAGTAAACAAGACGGGCATGTGATATTATGCCCAGTAACAGATAACAAATTTATTGGAATCTGCACAAGCACGCTAGGGAATTGGCATGGAGGGCTACGAGAAACCCTTTCATGTAAGCACATGGTTTATTGTGAAAAGCGTGAAGCCTGTCTCTTGGTCTGGGCAGCGCAATCGAGCAAAAATGAATGCAGGAATGGAAGAACAAAGCACACGCGTGGAGGGTAACAACTGCCACAACTAGAGCAGCTGGGACGCGAGATTTGGGAGTAAAATACAAAAAGGGAGGCACATATGCTCTCACATAGAAAGGCACGCTGTAAGGTAAAGCATGCTGGACATGAATGCTTTTGATACTTGAGCATGCAATACTTTAGCTCAATTCGAGAAATGGAAGAGCGTTTCCATGAAATTGCACTAATTGCACGAAATTTGGTTGGACATGAAATTGCACGCTGGAATTGTTTCTCTCTGAACTGGAGACGAATGCATGGCCTACGCATGGGGTGGAAAGTCGTCCAGCAAGAAGGCATGCGCATGGGGCCTTGACAACAAAAACGGGGACATGTTTTATTCGGAGTGCTTTGAGCATGCACTTGA